CTTTGGACCTTTGGATCGAGCCCTCGGGCATTGCACTCGCTGAGGACATGACCCCAGGGATCATGGGGACAAGTGAGTAGTATTTTATCTGGGGATACTATGGTACCCAATAATATAGGGTTTAGGGCCCTGTAATGGAGAATCAAATGGAAAAGAAAATGGAAAATGAAATGGAAACTGGGATTATATAGGGGTTATTTGTGTAGTATTTTATTAAAATTTCCCTAAAATGAGGGGTACCTTGTAAAGAGGATTTATAGGGTCTATATAAGGGTATATAGGGATGTATAGGGTTAAGGGTTTCCTAAAATGAGGGGTGCCTTTTAAAAGGGATTTATAGGGTTTATATAGGGATATATGTATAAATATATATATATATATTTGGTGTTTAGGGATTAGGGTTAAGGGTTTCCTGAAATGAGTAGTATTTAACTTGGGGATACTATGGTACCCAGTATAGAGTAAGATTCTATCCTCCTTTTGGGGTATAGTATTTTATATGAGCAATATTATTTTTCTGGGTTCAACCACCAAAAAAGCACTACTCAAATGAGGGGTGCCTTTTTGGGGGTCCTCATAACAAGGATTATAGTATTTTGGGTGAGGGTCTATGTTGGGGTCCCCTTTTTGTTGGGAAGCCACCAGGTGGGGCGAGGAGTGGACACCACGCCTCGTGGCAGGAGATGCTTTGGAAACTCTTGCCGGCCCACATGGCAGTCATGGCCGAGAAGTGTGCCAGCACATGCTGCCGCTCATCAGCGAGAGGCTCCAGGCAACCTGCTGGAAGCAGCAAGAGGCTGGCATCATGGCCCTTGGCATTATCGCAGCCAGCTGCGTGCAGATTGTTCCGCAGCACCTGCGGGACATCGTGCAGCTTCTCTTGAGGCTTCTCTCATCCCCACAGCCACTCGTACGAAGCATGGCCTGCATGAGCATAACGCAGTTCCTGCCTGGCTGTAGCGAGATGGTACCTGCAGTGGTACCAGCCATCCTCGAGCGTTGCAAGGATCGCAACAAGCAAGTCCAGACGTTTGCAGTGGTGTCCTTGCAGAACATCCTCAGCCTTGGCACCGTTGCTCCCTTCATGGACCCCATCTGCCAAACTTTGCTGGTGGGCCTTAAGACCTACAAAACGAAGAGTCTTCGCAAACTATACCAGTGTATCGGGGTCGTGATTCAAGTGGCACCGGAGCACATGGTCAACAACGGCTCATTCGTTCTGGCTGCACTCTACGAGCGCTTCATCGCCATTCAGGCCTTACCTTGGTAAGTCTACGTAGTAACAGTGGTTGTGGGGCTTATCAGTGGGGTTATATAGGGATAATGGAAAAGAACATGGAAACTACTACATTATGATAGGGTACATCTTGGGGTTATTGGGGATGGTAGGTGGACTTCACTACTAAGTCAGAAGAGCATCCAAGCAGGCCAACGACCCGACAGCCATGGTGCTCTTTGAGAGCATGGCATTGGTCGTGAACAATCTGGCTGGCTTCTGGGTTGATGTTAAGGAGCTGAAGTTTAAATTCAGCTCCCAAAGTTAGGAATCCTTTTAATTTACGATATATTATGCGTCACTATTCTGGTAACTTCACTTACGTGGTAAGTTCCCCAAATAGGGGACCCCAATATAAACCCCAAAAGACTATAATCCTTATTATGGGGACCCCCAGAAAGGTACCCCTAATTTTGGGAAACCCGCAAGTTCCTTCAACCCTAAACCCTAAATCCTAAACCCTAAAACCCTAAAACCCTCAAATCCTAAACCCTAAAACCCTAAGCCCTAAAGCCCTAAATCCTTAGAACCCTAAACCCTTGGAACCCTAAAAAGCAACCCAGGCTTCCTGGCGCAGCATCAGGCGCTACCAAGACTCGTGGACAAGGCTGTGCAGGTCATCAACGAGACAGCCTATGCGGTGAACGTCTGGAAGCAAAGCCCAGAAGAACCTGGGTTTACATCGGGGTTATAGGGCATTTATGTGTATAGACTGTATATATATAGGGTTTGGGGTTTAGGAGCTTAATTTGACTTACTATATTATCCCCCTATAAAGGAGAATCAAGTGGAAAAGAACATGGAAAATGAAACGGAAACTGGGGGAACATAGGGTTTAAGGAAATTTCATTGGAGTTACTATATCAAAGAAACCCTATTATTTACTATATATATATACCCTTTATGATAACTTAAGTTCCTTAACAGCAGCCCAGGAATACGAGCTCCCCAACCAGGACCTCATGGCCGCTGCGGTGGACCTCCTAGCCTCCATGATCCTGGGTTGCTGTTAAGGAACTTAAATTAAGTTACCATAATGGGTATAGGGTATTTAGGGTTTAGGGTTTAGGGTTTACCATAATGGGTATATATAGTAAATCATAGGGTTTCCCCAATAAAGTAACTTAATTTAAGTTCCTTAACAGCAACCCAGGATCTATGGGCTGCAGGGGGAGGTTGTTGGGCTGCTGAAACTTGGAATTTCAGTAGTACCCTTTTGCCCTTCTTGGGTATTGGGGTTCTTAAATATAATATATCAACAGGGAAAAGGGCATCCTTATTGTAATAAGGCTACTGGGCTACCAAGGAAAACTAACAATTTTCTATGTACCTTGCCCCTGGCGCTGGGGGCTTGCAGCTCCCGCACGCAGCAAGCGGGCTTCTGGCTGCTGGGCAGCGCTGCCGAGCATTGCAAAGACCAGGTAGTGCCCTTGCTGCCCCACTTCCTTGAACACATTGTCACAGGCCTGAAACACCCCACGAGCCCCCATGTGAACTGGTCGGCTGTTTGGGCCCTGGGGGAGATTTGTCAGAGGGTGGAGCCCATGCTCCTGGAGCCCATCGTCCCACAGATCGGCGAAGCCTTCCTTGGCATCTTCCAACGCCGCACCTCCGGGCAACTTGCACTTCCTCAATTGCTTGAAGCAACCTGTTTCACACTGATGCTTATGAAGCATACTTCTACGCTTGGTGACAAGTGGCCAAGCTATGCACGGCACATCCCTGCAAACACGCTGCAGGAATTGCAGAGCCAATACGGCTACCCGGCCTGAAATTTGAATGCCTTTTCGTCGAAAAGCTCTGAGCTGGACAGCAGCGCTGTTGAAGGTCTTCTTCCTGTTGCCATGGGCTGTTATTCTTCTAACCCCAGTAATACCCTTTTGCCCTTTTTGGGTATTGGGTTCTTTAGTATTATATACCAACAGGGAAAAAGGGCACCCTTATTGTAATGAGGTTACTGGGCTACCAAGTATTTCTCAAAGTCATCAGGCCCTCCCATACCTCAGAATCATATGAGCCATCGTCTAAACTCCTTAAAAAGGGTTATCTAAGGGATGTAGTCTACTATTTGGGTCATTAATGGGGATACTCGGAGAGGTACGATGACGTTGGATGCAAATCAGATATTGGGATATCACATATATATATATACGTATATCAATTTTCATAGATTGATTTCGAATATGTATATATATATAATTCAAGAGCCTTGAAACATGAACAATGTAAAACAAAAAACAACAACCATTCTCAATACAAATAGCATGCATGGTATTCCAATACTCCTCCAGAGCGTTATCTCTCATACAGTTTACCTTCCTTCAGATTAGCACAAGAATTAATAAATCTAGATTATAACCCCTATAACTCCTACATAACCCTAAACCCTATCTGTTTATATATATATATACACATAGCAGTTTTCATTTCATTTTCCATTTTCTTGTCCATCTGATTCTCCATTATTAAGATATTCGGAGTTTAGACTATAGCTGGTAGGACTGCCAGTACAGATTCCAGCTAAGAAGTGTGGAGGCTCAGTCTCCGCTGCGTGCGCGATTTCAAGTAGCCAGGGTTTGGGGTTTAGGGTTTCAGGGTTTAGGGTTTAGGGTTTCAGGGTTTAGCATTCAGGGATTAGGGATTTAGGGTTTAGGGATTTCAAGGGGCCAGCAGTATCGGAAATGCTTTTCCTGAGATGTCTTGTAGAGGAGCAACAGTAGCAGGAGCAGGAGCAATAACGGGAATAGGCACAATAGTAGTAACGTCATAAGGAGTATAATGGCAACCCAATAAGAATGATAGCAGTAACAATTATAATCTCAAAAATAACAATAATAGTAACGTTATGAGCAGTACAATGCTGAGCTTGGGAACCCCAACTGTCTGGCAGGCTTCTGCAGGGCTCCCAGCGTTGTGACTCTGCGAAGAGACGGCGGAATTGGGGAGATCATTCAGGGTTTAAGGTCTATAGTGCTTGCGGGGAGTTAGGGATGTTGTTTCGGTTATTTTGGTTTACGGTGGTCAAGGCTAAAGGGGAATTGGGCATGTTAGTTGTCCAGGGTTTGGGGCATTGAGGCTTAAGGTTTAGGGATCAGGATGCTTCCGGGGAATTAAGAGGTCTTTCTGGCAGAATTCTGAACAGCGACCAATATTATCCTCTTGCAAGCCTCAAATAACTACACCCGAAAGCGTGTTTTGCCCCCCGTGCCTGCTTCATTGTTTGAAGGGGATGTGGGGGGGGGAGGGGCGTGGATACCCATCATAGTCCCTAAAGGAAGGCAGGAAGGTAGCGTCGAGGTTGTTAAGGAAAGGTAACTATGGAGATGATAACAGGGATGACTGCAAGAAGTGATCTGTGTAGGGATTAGACGGAGTTCCTCGTAATTGTGGGCTTTGCCCCTACCCCTGACATGCCCTTCAAGATTTTGAGTATTTGTTTTCAGGACCCCAAATAAAACAATGATCCCAGAGTTCAGTTCTGAGTAGTATTCGTAATAGTAATACCAGTATATAGTATTATACAGATGTTAGTTCTTCGGTTCAAGGTCGACAATCTGCGCCAGCGAGTGCATGACTCGGACGAGGCACGCTTTCGCGCTCTGGGGCTTAGTTTGGGGCTTCGAGTTGGGGCGGGGCTAAGGTTTTAGACTTTGGAGTTTTAGATTGCCGGGTTAGGGTTTACGGTTGCTGGTATACCGTTTAAGGTGTAGGGGTGTGGGGTTGGGGGTCTGGGGAGTGGTGCTCAGGGTCTGTGTTGTTGTCTTCCACCACCTCAAAGAAGCTTATGACTCTTTCCATACGGGTGGAGGCGGACGCGTACCAACAATCAAGGTTTGGAGTGCAAGGTGCTACAACCCCAATGTCAGGTTTGTATCTCAAGTTACAATCCTGCTATGCTGGCATCTTTTGGGCAATGGACGAGCAGCGTCTGTGTCATAGCAACAATGGTTGCCGGGAAACTATCCTGACCTGTTAGCAAGCAGTGTTCTAAGTACTCAAAGGGACAGCTGGATGCCCGAGTTCCTCATTCGAGTCTGTACTTGAATCCGAACTCCAAAACATGGTTCGCAGAACTTACTTACTTGTTCAATTCAAGGTTTTGCACGTGTGCCTGTGAACGGGTATCAACACACATTCATTTCGCCTCCGCTGTAATGCAGGGGCGGGCGCCTCTTGTAGTGGCTGAGCAACCTTCAGCAGATCTACACAGTGAGATGTGGCTGCTGTAATGAAACAGCGGCTGCCCAGTTCCTGCACTCAGAAGACCAGTTGCCCGGTTTACCTTCCCGCGAAAAGGCAGCATGATTCATGACAAGTCCAAACCTAAATCGAAAACCCCAAGCCGTAGGCTCTACATGCCTAGGTTGCACAAACCGGCAAGCCTCTTCACCTCAGAAGTACAGTTGGTCATAGTACTACCATGGGCCCCAAACAAGTCACGCCCAAGAAGCTCGGGCGTGTCTTCATAAGCCGTACTTGTCATTTAATGGCCCTGAATAATTATGACAAGCCAAGGCCTCGGTGGATTCACATGTACCAGGATGGGCTGTTAGACCTCAAAGGGCCCTCAATCTACCCTTACTCAGGTACTATGAGGGAATTGTAGGGTCTAATAGCCCATACTGGTAGTGGGCCGCTTGTTGCAGCCTTTTGAGTTTGCAAGCACCTCGCATGTCAGCCTCTATCCTCCAACCACCTGAACCTTGTAAAGGTTGAGCTCAGGATCGTGGTTCCTCAAGTATACTTCGACTTCATTCTACGTTGGTACAGCCTGTCCCTGAGGAGGGGGTGGGGCAGAAGAATAAAGCCCGGCCCTATAAACCTCGAATCCTTCAACACGAAGCACTGAGTCTCCTACAAGCTCCATAAGCCCGACACCACGCCCTCTACACCTGAAACCTTATAGTACCTCAATCCACACGCATACATGGGAGGCCCTCGCTGAAGCTGTACGAAGCAACGAGGCTCCACAGGGCTTCACGGTTGTGGGCTTGGGGTTTGGGGGATGCAGGGTCTTCTTCTGCTTCTTTCGATTACGAAACGTTTTTTGGTTGTAATTCTTGCTATTTTCTGTAGTTCTCGCTACTACCTATGACAAATTAAGATGGTAGCGACGCACAGTACAAATAGCAGCAGCATCAGGAGAAGGAGGAGGAGGGGGGGCGCAGCAATAGCAATACTGGTTGTAGCAGCAGGAGTGGCGTCGGCCTCAGAGTTTCCCTCTTGGTTGGCGTCCTCGTCACCGTGGTCATGGCTGTGGTGGTCGTCGTGGCCGTTGTTTTTTATTGGTCGCTGTTGTTTTTAGCTGTCATCTCTCGCCTTATGGGGGCCTAAATGGCCCGACAGGATGTTCCACACGAATTCCTCTTTGCCTTACAGGACCGCAGGCTCAACAAAAATGGGCTCCTGATTTAGGCACCTGAACCAATATGCGCCTGTTTCAAAGCCATCCCCAAACTACTGTTGAGAGGGACTTCTCTGACCATCCCCTCCCCGGAAAAAGCCCTCGGATCTTGCATGCCGTTCCCAGTTTGACCATGTCCCTGCTTGCCTTCAAAAACCACCAATGAATCACGTTGAGCTCATAGAAGACCACAAGCAACAGGAGAACATGATCCCATTCCTTCTGGGGATGATAGGGTTTAAGGGTTAGGGTTTAGTTGCAGCCCCATCCAGGCTCTTCGGCAGCAGATGGAGGTACAGCGTCTGGATGCGCAGACTGCCAACGAGCGCAGGGCCGAGCAATGTGAAGGGGGGAATACAGGGGCTTACAAGCCCCAAACCTGAAAACCTCCACCTGAACCCTTACCCTCACAAAGTACATCCTAAACCCTGACCCCAAAACCTAAACCCAAAACCCTAAACCCTGAGCAACGCACGTGCCCTCTAAGCCTCGGAGGCAGGACCTGAAGCTGTGTCGGGAGATGTTCCAGCAGCGGATGGAGACCCAGGCCTAGGGTTTAGGATTTAGGGTTGAGGGTTTAGGGTTTGTGTGCAATTATGGCGCCTGTGCTGAAATCTAAGCATTGTTATACTCGGAAATCCCAAGGTTTGTCCAGCATGTGGATACTTAGAGGTTAGTAACTATAGGCTAATAACCCCTATAAGCCATATAATGACCCCAGTTATCCCTATTATCAACCTGCTAAGTCCCCATGACCCTCCAAGTAGAACCCGCATGGCAGATAACAAGTCAAACAAAGCTGCTCTGCTATGCCAGAAGGTCTCACACCCCCAGATGAAGCCCCTAAACCCTAAACCCTAAAACCCTAAACCCAAACTCTAAACCCCAGACCCTAACTCCTAAACTCTAGAACCACTTGAAGGCCAGCCATCATCAAGCCGAGGAGGTGGGCCTGCTTTCGCCTCCTCTTTTTGCAGACATGGCCGGTTTAGGGTTTAGGGTTTCAGAGCCCTACGATGCCCTAAGCCTTGGGAATTAATGTATGGTTTCGGGATGCAGGGTTGACAGTTTAGGGTTGAGGGTCTATATAAGGGACTGTTACGGGTGGACATAGGGGTCCCTCTTGTAATTTAGTATAGTCCTTAATTTAGTTCCTAGAAAGGAACCCATCTAGAAAAATACCCTAACCTCATGTAGGACTATGGTAGTATCAAAACTACTACGGGTTGAGGCTACTACTGCTGGTAGGATTCCCAGGCCCCTCTTTTTTTGGGGAGCAAGTCCAATGTTTCCTTGTTGCTTACCATGTTGATTTTTCCTGAGCGCTGTCCTGTGGAGTATCTTTCAGGCTGGAGGAGCCACATCCCA